CTTTGCATTTTTGCAACCCAGTGATTTGTCCATTTACATGGTGGCATCTTAATAAAATGGTTTTGGTGTATAAATCATACCTCTGTAATCTCACCATTTAATTATCTGCCATGTAGGGGTCAAACTACTTTGTTTATGCAGCCCTAGCAACACCTCCCCTGTATGTGACTTGCACAGTCTTCCTACAGACATCCTGTAAAGAGAGATCTAATTTTTAAACTTCTTTCACTGCACAGTCTGCTTAATTTAGAATGTCTTATCGTCTTCTCTGTGTATTGCCTGCTAGAGCATGCAGGGGTCTCATTTGTATGATTAAAGTTCAATTAACAGAGCAAGAGATTAAAACTTCTAAAATAAACACTCTGTGCTTTAAGGTCTGATTGAATCTGGAACCATGTTTTTCATGTAGGCTGTGTCAATCACAGCCAAGGGAGGTGTGGCTATGGTTGCATAAACAGAAACAAAAATGATTTAACTTATAAATGTCAGAGAATTGAACAGTGAGACTGCAGGAGCATGATTTATACACCTAAACCGCTTTATTAAATGGACACTCCACTGCCCAAATACAAAATAAATGAAAAGCACTGTTTAGTAGATATATACCAAATTAATCTGTGCATGTCTTTAATTATACATGTTTTCATTGGGGTTACATCTAAAACCACTTGCAAAACCTGCAAGTCTCTTGGTTCTGCCTTTGCAAGCCCTCCCCTTCTAACCCCACTCAGACTTTCCGTGACTGTCCAATCACAGACTTACCAATGCAGCTCAATGAGAAGTCTCTGCAAGGCAGGTGCTCTGAGCAACTTTTTTTTAATAAAGATTTTATCTATATAAAAAAAGTCAGAGCTACTTCAACTGTCCAGATATCCTTGCTAAATAGTAGCAACATAATGGCATCTATCAAATCTTAAGCTTTTACTGAATAATGTGAGCAGGCAGTGCTACTACTCCCTCTATATCCTCGGGAAAGAGTACTCTTAGCAAAGCCTTATGACAAATAAGATCTGCATTCCATCACCTAGGTACAATATAAAGGAAATGGTTACAATGTTATCACAACCTTTGAGAAGTAACTGGGCTATTCTCTAAAGTGAGAATTCCAAGTGAATTCAAAATTAATTTCAAATTTAAGGCCAAAGAACTTGTCTGATAAAAAAAAGCTGACTATTTTTTCCTTAGATTTTAAATCCACTTTAAATTCACATTTTAATTAATAACTGGGCCAGATCAGTAGATCGTTTATTAAAGTATACATAGTAACACTCCCACGTGCACAAAATATTGATAAAATGTGATATTTTTATAAGTCAAATAAAACAAGTGAAGGTTCAGCTAAACATTCAAACTCAAGTAAAGGTTTGTGTGAAACGAGTTATTCAGATTTCACTAAATGGCTATCCTGCTGGTAAATGGGTCTCTTTATAACATGTCATGCAAAAAAAAAAATCTTGGTTTCTGTGGGGTCAAAGTCCTGAAAATGGATGAAAAAGCTCTTTCATTGAAGCATTTAAAGAAGGCAGAACGAATCAATGTAGCTACTGTACAGTATTTATTTGAAGTCATGAGACTATTGTCCGCAGAATTGAAACAATGATGGTTCTAGACTCAACTATATAACAGAAATAAAGGTATTATTAGAGAATTGTTTCTTTTTTTTTGTCAGAAACAAAGATAATGAATATCTATTTCAAGAATGTAATTATATTTTTATTTATTGTTATTATTATTATAGTATATTATAGTATAAATCTGGTTTCATTTTAATAGCTTGTTACCTGTAAAATATTTTGTCAAGTTAATGTCTGAATTAAACAAAATATTATTTAGAGTTATAGCAAATTAATCACGAACCACAAAAGGAAATACAGCTCACACATGCTAGCACAGCACGTGTGTTGGTCCTGTTAGCTCCATGGTACAGCTAAAACAATTTAGTAGAATTAAAGTTTGTCGCCCATGTCAGCAGGGCTACAGAGATATAGTGCAGTCAAATCCTGCGATATCCTAGTTCTCCAAACCTATTATAGTAGCGCATGTGCGCACAGTATATGCCCTCTTGTAAATGGTTTAACAATATCTAGAGTGAGTACTAAACTTGTGCATGGAGAACATTTTTGGTTAATGCGAACTGATATGATTCTGATTTTCACAATCTCACAAAAACAAGTCCTGCGCTCAAACTCCCACTCTTCTTGTGCGGCAGCAAAGACCATAGTACACATCAGCCCCAATACTTACAGAAGAAACCAAAGAAAAAAAGTTACCTGCGCTCTTTCCCAAAACCCTATGTATATTTAAACAAATGGAGGTTATTTAGTTACTCCAATGGCCATTAGAGGGATGTCCACCTGCCACGTCAAGGCAAACCTCTTAGGTGGGTCCTACACTGACTATTCACCTTGCTTCCTTGAGCCTCTGGCAAATAAATCTCTAATGAGACAGAGAGGGGTATTTTTCTAAACCCCTACATGCTTATTAATTCTTAATAGGGAACACATGGGGTGGGCGGCAGCATTGTAACATAGCTGTGTGATACAAAAGTGAATACAAATACAAAGAAACTAGTCCAGTGCTCAAACTCCCACTACTCTTGGGCGGCAGCAACGACCATAGTCAGCCCCAATGATTTTCACAACCATTAAGTTCTTTCAGTCAAATTTCGATACGATATTCTGAGATTCAAAATTACGCAGTATATTTATTCTGACTGAAACATATCTCCAAGTCTAGTGAGTACACTTTTAGCATCCTTGCACCATAACCACTACATTGCCATTAGAGGACCACTTTAAATAAATGTAAATAGTACGTTACAATTTGAAACTGTTTTTAGCTTTTTTCATTAGCCCATCATAAAGTCCATTTATGTACATCTCCTCTTTTAATGCAATGATTTTTTTTTTTGATTTTTTTATTTGACAATTTTTATTGAGGCAAGGGTATGGTGCCTGCATGCCGGGATATAGAAAGGAAGAGGGTTAGGCAGGAGCAGTTACATCTTCAAAGGATAATACATGTGTCAGGAGAATGTTATACTTAGTTGAAATACAGTACTTACGTTAACTTGACATCAGGCATGCAGAAGTCCCATTTGACGTTTGTGCGAGTTGCAGAGATCTGTGTTGTTGTTGTTGTTTTTTTTCCCCTCTCTTCTTTTGTCTCAACATCTCCTCCTGAAACTCCCCCCCACCCATGCCACCACCTTCATGCCTCGGTTTTCAAAAAGTTCCAAAAGGTGGGACAAAGATGAACTAAAAGTAAGGAAACTATGAACACAGTGTGTATGCTTACAGGATTGTGGGCCACTAACACTCCGTTTAAGTCAGTTTTTGTCTAGTCAGTGTGTGTGTCTATTGTAGTCGCGATCTACTGCAGTGTGTGTCGCGACTTCCTTTTTATCGTATTTATGTGTGAGGTATGAGGTTGGTTATACAGTCATAAATAAGATCCTTATTCAACTGAGGCATGAGGGTGGTGGCATGGGTGGGGTGGGGGAGTTTCAGGAGGAGATGTTGAGACAAAAGAAGAGAGGAAAAAAAAAAACAACAACACAGATCTCTGCAACTCGCACAAATGTCAAATGGGACTTCTACATGCCTGATGTCAAGTTTACGTAAGTACTGTATTTCAACTAAGTGTAACATTTTCCTGACACATGTATTATCTCCAGCAGCTGTCAGCTGATATCAATTCCCAACTATTATCCATTCCTGCTCACTCATGTCCTTCAGTGGCTATCTCCTCATATAACTCTACCCTCACCTCAGCCCTGGACGCTGCAGCCCCTCTCCAAATACACACCGCAGGGAGGACACGCCCCCAACCATGGCACACTAAATCAACACGCTACCTGCAAAGATGTTCTCGTTCTGCCGAACGCTGCTGGAGGAAGTCTCACACCGAGTCAGACTTTCTACACTACAAATTCATATTGCGTTCATACTGCACAGTCCTTGCCCTTGCCAAACAGTCATAATTTTCTTCTCTTATTCGTTCATGCTGCCACAATCCCAGGCATCTCTTTGATACCTTTAACTCTCTTCTTTGTCCTGCTGTGGCCACCCCCCAAACTAACCTTACAGCTGATAGTCTTGCTTGCTACTTTACTGACAAGATTGAACAGATAAGGAAAGAATTCTCATCACCTTGCCCCTCACCTTATCAACCTCCTACGGATCATGCCTCTCCAACCCTTCCGACCTTCTCCCAGGCTACTGCACAAGAGGTGGCTGCACTTATCCTTTCCTCTTGCCCCACTACTTGCCCACTTGATCCTGTCCCTTCTCACCTTATTAGATCTCTCTCTTCTTGTCTTGTGCCCTCCTTAACACACATCTTCAACTGCTCTCTTTCTTCTGGCACTGTTCCTGCTGTCCTGAAACATGCTACTGTAGTACCCATCCTAAAAAAACCATGTCTCGACTCATCCTCCCCCTCTAACTATCGTCCTATATCCCTGCTCCCTTTTTCCTCAAAGCTTCTTGAAAGACTAGTCTTCACCCATCTGGCCTGCTTCCTCAACTCCTACTCTCTCCTCGACCCTCTTCAGTCCTGCTTCTGCCCCCTCTACTCTACTGAGACTGCCCTTATCAAAGTCACCTATGACTATCACAGCTAACTCCAAAGGTCACTACTCCATATTAATTCTTCTTGACCTATCCGCTGCTTTTGACACTGTTAATCATGTTCTCCTTCTCCAAAATCTTCAACCACTCGGTCTCTGTGACTCTGTCCTCTCAGGATTTTTCTCCTATCTCTCCCAACGCTCATTTAGCGTCTCCTTTTCTAATGATACCTCCCCCGTTCGTCCTGTCTCAGTTGGAGTCCCTCAAGGCTCTGTCCTTGGTCCCCTTCTATTTTCTCTTTACACTGCCTCTCTTGGCAAGCTTATTACCTCTTTTGCATTCAAATACCACCTGTACGCTGATGATACCCAGATATATCTCTCCTCCCCAGACCTCTCCCCTGATGTCCTGCAACGTGTCACCTCTTGCCTTTCTTCTATCTCTGATTGGATGTCCTCCTGCTTTCTGAAACGGAATCTTTCCAAAACAGAACTTCTTGTCTTTCCTCCTCCTAATATTAATCCTCCTCTCTCGCTCTCCCTTCAGATTGGTGGTACCCATATCAGCCCATTCTTACAAGCACGTTGTCTCTGTGTTACTTTTGACTTTGGCCTCACCTTTGAGCCTCACATCCGGTCTGTTGTCAAATAATGCCAATTCCACCTCAAAAACATTGCCCGCATCCGCCCCTTTCTTACACAAGATGCTACTAAAGAGCTTGTCCATGCTCTAGTAATCTCTCGCATGGACTATTGTAACTCTCTCCTAATTAGTCTTCCCAATAGCCGTATTGCCCCGCTACAGTCTTTAATGAATGCTGCCGCCAGACTGATTTTCCTCTCTAGTCGGTCCTCTCACACCTCACCCCTCTGTCAGTCCTTACATTGGCTATCTGTATCCTATAGGAGTCAATTCAAAGTGCTAATCCATACCTATAAAGTATTGAATAATCTTAGCCCCTCTTATATCTCCTCACAGATCCATAGGTATGCCCCTTCTCGATCTCTCCACTCTGCCCGTGACCTTCTTCTGTCCGCTGCTCGTACCCGTACGGCCAACTCGCACTTGCAAGACTTTTCGCAGGCGGCTCCAGTCCTATGGAATAGCCTGCCTACCACCTTCAGACTCTCCTCTAGTTTTCAATCATTTAAGAAGTGCCTTAAAACTCATTGCTTTAGGAAAGCCCATGGCCTCCCAGACTAACCTTTACCTCACATACCTGCCTCTTGTTCTCCCCTAAAGGGCAGCACTCTACTCTCTCCTCCAGCTCTGCTCCACTCCCAAATATTTGACTTCTATTCCCTGTCCTAATGTGTTTTATACCCCACCTCCTATAGACTGTAAGCTCGTTTGAGCAGGGCCCTCTTTAACCCTTCGTTTCTGTGAGTTTTCTTGTAATTGTCCTATTTATAGTCAAATTCCCCCTGTTAAAATATTGTAAAGCGCTACGGAATCTGTTGGCACTATATAAATCGCAATAATAATAATAAGTCAATGTAATATGATGGGATATTTGAAGTAATATGATGGGATAGTGGACCTCTTTTTCAGTATCAAATTGTTTTGCCTTTTTTGTTTGTTTTTTCTTCTCCTTCCTCCCCTTATTGATTAGTTGTTTCATTTATGTGATTCTCCCATTCGGTTCTGGCTTTTAAGATGTGTTTCCGAGGTTGGAGCTATTTGTGGGCCATAGCTTCATAGTCTAGGTTCAGGGATATTTGTTTTCTAAGGGCAGATTTCGAAGTAATCATATTTGTTTTCCAGGCCCTAGCTATTAGGAGGTTTGCCGCTATAAGAGCCTGAAATATCAGGCTAGAGTCTTCAATGGAGAATGACATAAACAACAAGCCAATTTTTGGTGTTATCTGTACCCTAGGTGTAGTTATGTATGATAGTTCCTCCTTTACCAGGGTTGTGTCTTTTCACATGACCACCATATGTGGTGCATGGTGCAGACTTTGCTTTGGCATCTCCAGCATAAGTCAGATGTGTTAGCATATACGGGACAGTATAGGCAGAGTCTGGCAGGCACCATATACCATCTGTATTGGAGTTTGCGCATTATCTCTAGATGTGTCTAGACTTATTTATAAAGTTCCTTTGGTTGGTGTTTGGGGAATATATATTTGCTATTGTGTGTAGCACATCATAAACAGATCCCATTACAAGGACATATCTACGATTGGAATCTATCTCTTGTGAATGTAGTTGGAAGGTTACATTTTTGCTAATTACGATGGAGGCTCCCCTGGATTTAGCAGGGAATGTTGCATGGTACGGAAATGGAAAGTCAGATGTCAATTAATGCAATGATTTAATAAGGTAAGTTACAGAAACACGGAGGCCATTGCAGACTGCCACACGAATAGCAGGAAGGGTATAAGTAGGTGCTGGACAATGTCAGTGTACTTTACAGCACAATACATACACATGCACAGTACTCAATAACATTGTTACTTTTTGCACAGACCATTCCACATTCCACCATATAAGTTTAGCCATCACTATCACCATTTAGCAAATGTTAAACAATGTTAAAACATGGTTCTGGTTGTCTTTTGAGGTTTTCTTGTATCCATCTGTGGTTTGGCAGCCATGTTAGCTTTGAATACCTTGAATTTCAAGATAAGGACAACAAAAGAAAGTAAACAGGCCACTACAAAACAGAACTACAAAACAGAAGCCATCATAAAATAATGCATAATGGTCTATTTCCTGATATGATTCATGTCGCATTATGCAATCTGCACGATCTTATGGTTAGATGACAATGTACAATAACCTAATCACAAAGAAAACACTGATAACATTAAGTTCATGAATTATTATTATTCATATTAATTAAATATTAATGCAGGTTGCATGCAGGGGGACGGTTGGTACATGCCATTGTCCGTGCCCTACCCATGTACAGCCAGTGGGGGCTGAAATACTATGCTGGTGAGTAACCCCTTTCTCCCCCTAGCATCTAAACTCTTTACTAGTGCCAGGGGATGCCACATCCATCTAGGACTACTGGGCATATAGTGCCTGCCTCCCACTATAAACCATGTGGCCATAGGAGGGTCTTTTATAATATACCCATTGTTGGAATCGAACTGCAACTCCCATGATGCTGAGCAATTGTAAGGCTGGCTGAACTTGTGCTTTTTAGCGGATTGCCAAACTTTTATTTAGTGTATGGCTGTATTCATAATGCATGTCCATAATGTATTTCACATTGTAGTAGTAAAATGTAATATTGATATGATGGTACACTGGTGAATATATATATTTCATGAGCTGTACTATATAGAACTTTAATGCGTCTTCCTTATCCACGTGCTGCTTTTTAAAGCACGCACCATGCATCATGTTTTCCTTGATTAACCTTGTGTTGACTCTTACTCTCTCTTTAGCCTATCTGCTATTCATCCAGTAGCTTAAAATGTAGACATCTTGCATTAGCTGAGCTTAAAAGACACAGCGCGGCAAAATTGTAACTAGAGAATTATTCACTAAAGTGTGAATTTGAATGAATTCAAAGTGAATTCCAATTTTTAGGCCAAACATCCAGAGCTAAATTGGAGAATTTTCCCGATTTGGCTATTTTGACCTGAAATGGGTAATGCATTTTGAATATACACGTATTGACACTTTAATATATAATCCGGTTAAAGGGACACTCCAGACGCCAAAAGCACTTTTGATTGCTAATAAGCTTTATGTGTGAAAAGTGTGTCTTCTTTATTTCAATCTACAAAAAGTACAGATTTCAATAAAAATTAACACTTTTATAAATTAACCTGGTTACACCACCCTTACTTCCGCCCACCCACCCCCCAGCTTTTCAAACAGACAACTGGTCATGTTACTTCCTGGTTTGGTAAGCTCAGTGGAGCTGAACTCGAGAGGGAGCAATTACTCAGAGCCCCTGTCTTGCATTGTGAAGTCCGCCACAGAAAGTGTGGGCGGGCTTAGTACAGGAGGGTTTGCACAGGCAACATACATGCGATCTGCAGGTTTTGCAAGCTATTTTAGGTATACCCCAATGAAAAAAAGGCATAATTAAATACATTTATGTTTTCATTGTGAATATATGTACTAAATAGTGATTTCTATTCAATTTGTATTTGAGTGTCCCTTTAAGTCATTGAACTCATTTGATTAACCTCTCTTTTCCTGACTTGTATTTAAGTACATTGATCAAGCAGTGTGGCAAAAAGTAAAAAAAAAAAAAAAAAAACATTTATAGTGTATAGATTGCATAGTTGGAAGCTTCAATGGTGAATGGAAAAATGGATGTAAGTCATTTTTCAATATCTGAGACCCCACATGGATTTTGAGTGCGTATGGAAATGTATATATAAAAATAAAAAATAAACAGATATTTTGCAAAGTTCTAAAGGTAGAACAATGAATATGATCATTTAATTGGTTTCCTTAGTAGTGGCTCAACTTTTAGAACTTTATTTCAAAATTGCTCTTTGTAAATAACACCTACTGTGCAGAGTTCTGGAGACCATAGCTTCAAAGGTTATTCGAAGAGGGCTTGAAGTTTGATCATGTAGAAATATTTTCTGATTAAAATGAATACACTGTGGATAGGAATTAATTATCCCAATCTGACATCCTGGGATGATTATTTTATGATAGGAATAAAAATAACACAAAGTATTCCTAAAATAATGAACATTCATAGCTCGAAAATGCTAATGCGAGGGAAATATTCCTGTTATGGTTGCGTTTATTCATATGAGCAAAACCTGGTATCTGAATCAGAGGAAATGCAGTCATCCGAATGTGATTAAAAGAACAGCAGTAATAACGATTTTCAAGGTCTGTTTTCAAATCTACTAGTAAGATAAATGTTGTGGTAGAGAGAGCATAGATAATTGTTTTCTTTTACAGATAATATAAAATGTATTAATATCAATAAATGCTGCAATGCTTAAAAAACAGTTCAGAAAGCAAAACAACAAAAAGAAAACACGTGAACAGAGATTTTAAACAATTTCTAGGGCAGTTAGTTTGTGCTTGTCTATGTAGTCTATGTATTTAGTAATCAGGTCTTACTCCCTCATTTATCTCTTGCCCCTCTTTGAAATTCTTACCCCCTCAATTGTCTCTTATTCTGAGTGTCTTTCCCCATCATTGTTCTCTTACCCCATCATTGTTCTCTTACCCCTCATTCTGAGTGTCTTACCTCATCAATGTTCTCTTACCCCATCATTGTTCTCTTACCCCTCATTCTGAGTATCTTACCCCATCATTGTTCTCTTACCCCTCATTCTGAGTATCTTACCCCATCATTGTTCTCTTACCCCCATTCATATTTGAATGTCCTACCCTCTTTTGTGTATCTTTAGTACGCCTTGTGTCTCTTATACCCAGGGCCGGACTGGCCCACCGGGATACCGGGAAATTTCCCGGTGGGCCGCGGCACCTGGGGGGCCGGAGAGAGAGAGAGAGGGAGCCCTGCTCCCTTTACTTTAATAATATCGCGGCCGCCGGCCGCATGTCGGTGCCGCCGGGTGGCCGGTCCGGCGGCACACTCTGAGGTGATTACTCACCTTGCGGCCGGCGGCCCCATCTCCTGTGCTGACACCTGTCAGGATCAGTGAGTGTGCCGGGCGGCCGCCTAAGCCATCCA